TAGGTTATTCCTTTTGATGGTATCCCACATGAACCTTAGGCTTTCTTCATTTTGCTTTGATTTTTTTTCTGATTGATCCCTTTCTAAAGAAGTATTCAGGTATTTGTCTTCAATCTCATTAATTCTGTCTTCCATTGCATCAATTCTACTTCTTTGCCCTTCCAATGTGGTATCTATTTCTGACAATTTAGTATTAATCTTTTGGATTTCTATCTGTAGATTCAGAATCATCTCTTATTTTTCATTTATTTTGTCATTTTGTTCTTGTATTTTCTTCCAAATTTCTTCTAGGCTTTTTTCCTGTGTTTTCTTTGGTCTGTCTCTCAATCCTTTGAAGATATCTAACTATAATTCTTTTGAATTCCTTATCAGAGAGTTCCAATGCTGCTTCTTTCCCAGGGATGTGTTCTGGGTCTGATACCCCGCTCCCTTGTTTCTACCCCTTTATCTTGCTTCTTTGTGTGGACTGTCATGGTCTTTTGCCTCCAAGACATTGTGCTGTTGTTGTATTTAGACCTCTGTTAACTGTTTGTGAAGAACAGCCAAGGGTGATTCAGCCTCCTCCTGGTAGTTTCTTATTGTTGGCCCATTGGTGGAGAAGGAGGTGGTGGCTCTCACTCAGTAAGTGAAGTTGTAGGAGGTGTGGGTGCAGTTGTGTCCCATGGGGATTGTTGCTGTCTCCCACTCAGTCAGACAAAAATTACAATTGAATAACCATCGGAAAACTAAAAGTACCTGGGCAAAAAATACACCATGTAATCACACAGGAACAGTAACCCAAAAAAGAAAAATGGGAAAAAGAAGAAGAAAAAAACAAGAAAACCTGCAATATCTGGGGCTAGGGCACCAAGAGTAAAAAGGTAGAGAAGGAGACCAATGAAGAAAAAATGGGAAAAATGCAAAAAGAAAGACAAGTAACATGGTTAACCACCAGAAGAAAAGAAAAATAAATAAAAATTTTGCAACTCAGAACAGGGAAAATAAAAAAAGTTGTAAATTAGGACCTGGGAGGGAATGAATAAAGAATAATAGGAAAAAGGACAAAAGTATTATTAATAATAATAGTTTTAAAACAGACAAAAACAAGCAAACTAATAACCAGAAAAAAAGAAGGAGAAAAATAAAAAGGAAAAAAAAAAAAAAATTGTGGGAGGGCAGGGCAGGTCACCCAGGCTCCATCAGAGCCCACAGACTGGGATGGAGCTCCTGTGGGCTCAGAAGGTGGGTGGGAATGGGGGATGGCCACACCTCCATTCACCAAGTGGGTGTAGAGTATAAGAATTACAAGGGAATGTCGCACCTTTTCAGTCGTCCAGGTCTGGAGTGTCCTTGGGATTACTGGCAAGACAAATTTGCTCTTAAACCCCTGGAATCTGGGAGAATGCCGTCTCTTTAAATATCCAAAATGTTCAAGTCACTTTTAAACATTCAAAATGGCGGCGCCCTGCAGACAGGCAAAAGTGCACAACTCAGCCCACCTTCCTCTTCGCTGTTTCTCCTTTTATTCACCAGCTACCAGAGCAGTCCTCTGTACAGTCCCTGGCTATCAGGGCTCATTTTTAGGTTAATTCTTAGGTCCTACCAGACTCAGCACTCTCCAAGCTGTCTGGGCCATGCTGTCAGGAGTGCTCAGGATCGCTGCCAGACCACAGCTCTGCCTGTCTCCTTTTTCAGTATTTTCTTGTGAATTCTTCTGCTAGTTGGGGTTTAGTCCACTTCTATATCCTCCCCTTCAAGGCTCAGGGGTCCAGGATTATCCTCTGTGTCTGTGCCAATTAGTTCCCCTTCTCTTTATTGAAGAGGGTCTCTGCAGTCTTTCTGCCTAGTTTGCCATCTTGAGTAAAAGCTCTCCATCCTCTCATTCTTGTAAAAGAAATTATTCTATCAAGATGACACTGTGAGCAAATAGAGACCAAAGCAGTTGTGATGTAAGAGCTAAAAGCAGAGGTGTGAAGGCTCAAGGAATAAATGATGAGGAAAGAGGCAGAGTCAAAAAGTAAGCTACCCAAACTCAAGATCATATTGAAAGCTGAAGAAAAATAGAATACTCCCTGCAGAAAACATAGCTAGGAAGAGAGACTTTAGAAAAAATAAGTGAAATCAAATGAAAAAGAAAGAATTTTTTAAATTTGAAAGAAAAATGGTAGTTATGAAAAACAGATACAAGTGATATAAGAAATACACACCGTGTAGAAAAGAAAACAAAAAATTCAAATGCAGAGTTCAAGGAAGCTATAAAGCAAGATGCAAATTCACAAGTATAAAGGATACATGTGCATTATGGATTAAGACTGATCAATATGAAATGAAGTTAATGGATTTGATAATTTAAGAGATGGTGCAAGGAAAAACACAGAAAATAAATAAAAATACTATTAAAATAGTACTAAAAATATGAAATACTTAACACCTTTCAACATATGTCAAAAGCTATATACTAAAAACTATAAAACACTGATGAAAAACAAAATAAACAAAACATTGATGAAATCAAAGAAAATCTAAACAGAGAGACTTGCCATGAAAATGTCACTTCTCTTTAAATTGATCTATAGATTCCATGCAAACTCAATCAAAATCTCAATAGTATTTCTAGGATAGTCACAACAATTTTGTTTTAACAAAACAAAAACAAGAACACAGTTGGAGGACATGAATAAAGAGGGCTCACTTCCAAGAGTCCCTTTCCTCTTATCTCAGATGAACTCAGCTCCCTGCAGGGCCTCTACTCTCTTTACAGGACCTTAGGGGACAGCCTACTCTTTCTCCTAACACCTGAGTCACTGCTGCTACTTCCAGACCTCATTCAGAAATCCTGTGAACATTCATGGAGATAAGCCATCCAACTAGCTCCCTAGCTTTGAACTGAACTTCTTGACTTCAAGAAGTCATTGTGCTTCATTTCCATTCCATTTTTGTCAGAGTACTAGTACAGTGACCAAGTGGACCACAGGGCCTGTGTTTTGAGAGATGGCATTATTGTTCCAGCACCCTGCTCAACACGATTATTACCTTTGAAGCCAGTCACCTCTTCAGGTCTGGAAGTTCATGAAGGTGGGTCTTGCTTGAGAGGTGTCTCACTGAGAGAAGATGTCAAGAAGAACTCTAAGACCTGCCTTGGGAGTGCAGGTCAAACACCCCCAATCTATCCATGGGAACTGACACATTCAAGCACCCTCCAGGACTGAAAGCTGCCCGGGATGTGTTTTATTTGTCAGCTCTTCAAGGGAGGGGTGTTGAACGGCAAATATAATTCCCTCTCATAGTGTTGGAGTCCCTGGGTGGCACAAAACATTAACTGAAACGCTGGTGGTTCCAATCTACCTATTAGTGCTTCAGAAGAAAGGACTGGCAGTCTGCTTCGAAAAATCAGCCATTGAAAACCCTAGAGAGCACAGTTTCACTCTGGCATACATGGAGTCATTGTGAGCTAGAGTTATTATTGTGTAATATTTTCCAAATACAGAAATAAAACTTGCCCAAGATGATGAAGTGGTATCCTTGGGAGTTGTTAGAAGGAGCCCTCAGAGTGAGCAATGGCTACCTACTTCTCATCCAAGAAGCATTGTGAGAGGTCAAGGAAGGCCTTTGGCACTGAGTCATGAGCAGTCCCCATGATGTCATGGGATATAAACCATGGCTGTATGTAACGTGGAACAGCAAGAAATGTCTCAAACTGCAATAGGATGGGCCCTTGAGTGCTGTAGTTCAGGGTCCTCTGACCCTGCTGGATTGGTCACTCTGTGGACTGCTACAATCACTGCACTTTGATCTTTCCTCTGTGAGAAACAGGTGGGGCAAGGTAGCCGAGCCCACTCCCTATGTAGATTAGGTTCATCTTCTGTCTGGGCATCCTCTCATGTCTGCCAGTTTTGAGGTGGACCAGAGAAACAGGAAGCTCACCCAGACCAGTGTTGCTTCTTGCCAGCATACCACCTGACCAGTCTCTGTGGCCTGGTGCAAATGCCCACAGGTGATTACTCACATGCCCATGATTCCAGACAGCAATACTCTCCTCCTTTTGCCCACATGCAAGAGTGACATATTATGGTACCTTCAGTTCCCTACATTTTGTAAAACAATTCACATGGGTCCCCAACTAAGGGTTTCTTTGACCATGGTGGCATCTTTTTTAATAGTTTCAGTGCAGTTTCATTCAGGGAAAAGAAGAGAAGTAGCTTCAGGGTTTATGTGGATTTTAAGCAGCTAATTTTAATTTTTAGGGGAAAAAAGACACTCATAGGAATAAAAAGAAGAGAATAATATGAGAAAATTTTTCCATATCATTTAAAAAAAAATCAGATGCTATGTACTAGAATGAATTGCCAGGAGAGATTATTAAATGTCTTTTTGCAAGTACCTTTTAAAAAACAAAATAAATACTCCTCTGTTTCCTGAGGGCATAATAGCAAAAGGGTTTGGCACACTAGAATGAATTACATCAACATATGTCAGAGACAGGAAAATGAAGTGGTAAAAATGTAAATAAGTCTAGAAACCAACAGCTCTCAAATGAAAATCTATAATCCTTTGAGTCACCCTTGGGAAAGATATTCTCTCTGCCTTGAACCTACCCAGATGAATGAGTAGCAGAAAGGAGCATGCGTTATAATAACTCTCCCTAACATGCCTGCTGCACATGGGATGGAGTGCATGGACCCAGCAGTGCCCGTGGCCGCACCTTCAACGTCAGCCGCACAGCGTTGCAGTCCTCCTGCAGTGGGTTCAGCTTCAGCGTCTCCCCAAGGTTGCTGCAGCCGGATGACTGATGCTGCATTTCACAGCAGACACACACCTCGACACTGTCAAACTTAATCTAGACAGAGGAACACAGACAGATCTCACAATTAAAATGGCATTCTGCCCCTGTAGGGACACATGCACTACTCAATTAAGAATGCATGACAATTGACCTGTTTACTTTTTAATAACAAAACTAAAACTATTTCTATTAACAAGAGGTATAGAAAGACACAATTAGGAACTATTTTAAATTCCTACTCTAAAAGCAATTAATAAAAAAGAAATTTTAAGAAACTTAAGGTACAAATTACAGATAATCACAGATGAACTACAGAGGGAGATAGAAGTAAATAAACTGAAACTCATTCATACTGACTCTTGCATGGAGACGAGTCATCACAGCTCTGTGCCTCAGTCAGAAATTTCCTGTCTCATTGCATGGCCTATCAAACTCCTACACATCCCTCGAAACCCAACTCCAACTTCTCCTTCAAGCTTTGCTTGGATTCCCTATCAGAGTTGCTTGCTTTTCCTCTAGCCAGGCATCTTCTGCCCCTCCCTCTACCATAGATTGTTTGCACAGCTGTAGTTGTTTGTATCTCTGTCTGTCCTGTAGGCTCCCTGAGGACAGCCATATATCGTATCATCACAGTACTCACAATGTCCATAATTTGCTGATATTCAATAAATATTGAGCAAATAAAAATGGCTTGGAAAATGAAAAACCATAGGAAAAAAATGCAATTCAAGCATCTGAAAGAGCAGTTAGGTGGAAACATGAAGAGACTCCCAGTGTAGGGAAGGGAACACAGTTATTAGTACCTGGAAGAGATTCTTTGGATTTAAAAAATAAAGTTCTAAACATAAAATTACCAGTGCTAGTAACCTACATATATAAATATATGTTTGCACATACATTTTTTGGTTGTTTTGCTGTTGTTTCAAGATTATACATGTCACAGTAATTTTTTCAATTAGTTTTTAAAAGTGCTTTTCCTTCTTACCTTTCACTTCCCAAGAGGTCCCTGGATGACACAAACAATTTTCACTGGACTACTCACCTAAAGGTTGGCAGTTCGAACCCACCCAGAAGTGCTATGGAAGAAAGGCCTGGTGATCTGCTTCCATAAAGATTTCAGCCAAGAAAATCCTGTGGAGAAGTTCTATTCTGTAACACATTGGATTGCTATGGGTTGGAATCAACTCAACAGCAAAATTTTTTTGGGGGGGTGGGGTGGGGGGATGGGGTTTGGTTTCACTTCCCCAAGTTCACTGTCTTGTGTCTCCCATTTCCCTCTGCATCATTCTACCCGCCTGTGATAGGACAGATAAGGACTCAGCCCCCACCCTGCTGACGCCAGGTGGGGTCTCCTGACATGCCTTCATGAGCGGAGTATGGGTAGAAGTGACAGGCACCTTGTGTCGCATTTCTACACTCTCTCCACCTTAGAACTTTTGACCTCCACTGTGAGAAGAATATGCCCAAGGAGTTGCTGCCTCTCTAGCTAGGGCCCCAAAGGAGATTCACAGGGCACATGAAACCCCAACCTGCAGCCTGAAGTGTAGCCATCTCAGCCATGCTGCAGAAGTGATGAACGTCCAGTGCTTATCCAGGCACTCACTGTGGCCCAGGGGATTTGTGGTGCAGCGTTACTACAGAAAGCCCAGCTGATACAAACCCACCTCATCATAAGGACTACATTTTTGGAGTTCTGATTCACATAACCTTACCCATCCTTATTTACTCCTTCCCCATTCCCGGTTTAGTCTTCCATATTGCTGTTGTTAGTTGCTGTTGAGTTGACCCAACTCACTCATGATAACCCCATAAGCAAGGAATGAAATGCTACTCAGTCCTGTGCTATCCCCATGATTGGCTACAGAATAGACCACTGTGATACATAAAAGTTTTCACTGGCTGATTTTTGGGAATAGATTGCTAGGCCTCTCTTCCTAGTCAGTCTTAGTCTGGAAACTCCTGGAACCTGATCAGCGTCACAGCAACATGCAAGCCTCCAATGACAGATGGGTGGTGGTTGAGCATGAAGTGCATTGGCTGGGAATCAAATCCAGGCTCCCACATGGACAGCGAGAATTTTATCACTGAAATACTTACTGTTATTACATATAGACAAACACACACTTCAGAAAAGTGAAATAAAAAGGGACAGCTAAAGGCCAAATTATCACCTATATTAAATCTTTTAGTAGTTTATCTTTTCCAGTTCTTTTTTACTCTTTAATTCAATTTTCTGAAATGATTACTACTGCTTGAGTAAGTATGGCTGACAGAACTACCTGAATCTCCAGGACTGTCCCTGTAGTAAGTCTCCAAGTCTGCGTACAGGTAGGAAGAAGAAACCTGTGGGTGGGAGGCCACAGGCCAGGAGGAGAGATGGACCTGCAGAAGCTACATTGACAATTCACTGCCTAGCCTTACCAGTTACCTGTAGAGGAGAAGGTCTGTGAGTTGTATATGTAGGTTTAAAGCTTTTACGGATATTTCCAGTCTCCAGGGCTGCAGTCCAGACTGACCACAGGGCCCAAGTAAAGGAGTCATTAAACACACCCCAGAAAGGGCACAAACAGCGCTAGACTGGGAGACATATCCAGTGCCACTCAGTATAACGTCTTTCTCATGGCTCGTCTAAGTCAGCAACAGGCAGGGGTGTCCAAGAACCCACTGACCCCACAGAGCACAGGGGTCCAAATGCAACAGTCAGAGTTTGGTTCCTGGGCCTCTTGTGTGCTCTGGAGAGGACACAGTGCTGGAACTGCTATTGGAGAGCTATTGGTGTGAGCTATGCAGAGTCCAATGTCCTTGGTTACTGTGGTCATTACTGCTATCTCCATTCCTATGTTATTTGTAAAATTCATTATTGGTCCCAATAATTTGGAAACAAAGGGATATGAGTTTCAAGAGCAACTTTTAAAAGGTAAAGAATATAAAAGGTGAAAATTGAAAAGGTAAAACAAAGATTAAAAAATGAAAGGTGAAGGATAAATCATACAAAATGTGCTTGCCAATCAGGGATGTTGAGATAACACTGTGAGCTGCGTGGGCTGCTCCTTGAAAACACCAGCAAGTCTGTGGTCACCAGAGATGAGGAAGTGCTTGAGGTGAACACTTTTCCATAGAGAATGTTCTGGATCTGACAATTTTTGCACAGAGTACACATCAGTATTTTCAATTGAGAAGTTAACATTCTATAATCAATTGAAATGCCTTTTTGCTACCATATAATACCTCAGGTATGGCTTAATATCAGCTATCACACATACAAGTAAATGCATTTCCTAGCAATTTCCTGTTTTTGTTGGTGTTAGGTGCCACCAACTTGCTCCAACTCATAGCGACCCTATGTACAATAGAACAAAACACTGTCCAGTTGTGCACCATCCTCAAAACACTTGCTATGCTTGAGCCCATCACCACAGCCACGTGTCACTCCATCTCATTGAGGGTCTTGCCTTTTTTCACTGACCCTCTACTTTACCAAGCATGATATATCCTTCTCCAGGAAATGGTCCCTTTTGACAACATGACCATAGTAGGTGAGATGAAGTCTGGCCATTCTCATTTCAAAGGAGCTTTCCAGCTGCCCTTCCTCCAGGAAGATTTATTTGTCCTTCTGGCAGTTCATGGTATTTTCAGTCTTCTTTGCCAAGACCCCATCTTGGAAGGAAGATGGGGCAATCAATCTACTTCCATAGTGATATTGCCTTGGAAACCCAAGGAGGGGTCGCTATGAGTCAGGTCCGACTTGACGGCACATAACAACAACGACAACAACATTTCAAAGGTATCAACCCTTCTTCAGTCTTATTTATTGTCCAGCTTTCATATACATATGAGGTAACTGAAAATACCAGGGGTTGGGTGACAAACCAAACCAAAACCAAACTCACTGCAGTAGAGTCAATTTGACTCATAGTGACCCCTCCTTGGGTTTCCGGGATGGTATCTCTACAGAAATAGATTGCCCAATCTTCCTTCTGAGGAGTAGCTGGTAGATTTGAACCGTCAGCCTTCTGGTTAGCAGTCAAATACCTTAGGCACTATGCCACCAGAGCTCCCAATGGTTTGGATTAGACACACCTACTATTCAAAGTCACATGCAGCAGATATGCCCACTGCAATACAACATCCAATATCTTAACTGCTGCTTCCATTGGTGTGGATTGTGGATCCAAGTAAAATGAAATCCCTGATAGCTTCAGTCTTTTCTCTATCGTGATAGTGCTTATTGGTCCAGTTTTGAGGATTTTTGTTTTCTTTACATTGAGATGTAACCCATACTGTGGTAGTTATGTTTGTGTGTCAACTTGGCTGGGCCTGGTTGAGTGGCTGGGCAGCTGGTGGTAGTTATTCCCCATGATGGGACTGGCAATCAGCTCCATGGTGGGATCTACCACAAGCAGCTGAGTAGCTGCCTTTGGGTATATGGTCTGCTTCCTGTATTTAAGGAGAAGACTTGGGAATGGTCTCTAGCCTACAGCATGCTTGGACCCTGCATGTAGCCATGTCATTGCTCAGCAGCCTGCTATGCTCTGCCAACCTTGGGACTTACAATGGATTTAAGTTAATGGCCTGCTGTGTGGTTTGGTAACATCAGGACTGTGCCTTTTTACTTGTCAACCTTGGGGCTTCTCAGCCTCAGCAGCCAGCAGCTGTCTGAGTGAAGAAATGCCTCTAGCTCCAGTGGGCCAGGAGCAGGAGGCAGAGCTGGACCCCAAGGTTGAGGGGCTTTCACCCAGCCCCTAGAGCCTGGCACTTTGAACTTGGACTTAAAGCCTCCAAATTGTAAGAATAAACTCGTGTTTATTAAGACCATCCCATTTGGGTATATTCCTGTCAGAGTGGCACTAGGTAACCAGAACACCATATTGAAGACTGTAGTTTTTATTTTACTTCATCTTTGTCTTTTTGTCTTCTCAAGCCATCCTTTGAAATCTTCCGTTCAGCTCTTTTATTCCTTCATTGGTATTTTTACTCATGTGGCTGAGAAGACCATGTATAGACTCTGATACATTTTGGGAGACAAGGAAATTAAGTTGCACCAAACATTTCTA